TGACAGATTGTTTACACTATAATAATTAATAATTAGTAAGGACACGTTAAATTGATTAAAAGTGACAGTAAATACATTTATAATGATACAAAAAGATTCCTAATTAAAATAAATGCTGTTCCTTTCATCTATTCATCAAAAATGCCAAAGTTTCACATTATCCACAACACCATTAACCAGCATTGTTTTCAACATTGATAATAAAATATGTTTCTTGAACACCAAATCTTTATATCATCATCATATGCTGAAAATTCAGCTTTGTCATCACAAGAATCACAAGAATCAATTATATTTTAAAGCATATATTAAAATATAAAGTTATTTTACATTGTAATAATATTTCCCATTGCAATATTACTGTATTTGTGATCAAATAAATGGAGCTTCGGGGAGCATAAGAGGCCACTTTCATAAACATTTGAACAGTAATGTACACTGACAGTATGTATGTATAGTGGATTAGCGGATTGTGTTATTGATTGTGAACTCATAAACATTTATTGAATTAAAACACTTCAACAGAAGCATAACTTTGAAGAAATATTAAAGCAGTCCAACAGAAGTATTTAAACAATTAAAACACTCCAACAGAAAGACAAAAACAAAGAATTGAATCACTTCACTTAAGAAATTTATTATCTTTTAACTTATAGATTCTCCCACCTTAGCTGGATGCTGCTGTCCCAATTTATCCAACATGTTCAGGTAAATTGAGATGGTAACAAAATGTAATATTTAAAAAAAAAATAGAACGAAGAAACTGACTCATCATTGCATAAAATTGAAGGATCACATGAACACATGTAATACAAATTTATATTTGAAAAAAAAAAAAAAATGACTAAATGTAAATACTGTTTGTATTGGAATTTAAACCATAACAATTTTAATAGACTTAAACTGTGTATGTGCACTTACCAAGTTCTTTCTCAGACCTTCCAGCATTTGAGTGGTTACCACATCATGATTTACATTTTACACCATCTTTTTAGGAGCAATATTAATATTTAATACAACAAATTGTTTCACAAACCCAACAATGCCAGGAAATAAGTGGAAAACTGAAACAAAAATAAAGAATACCAAGAAGGGACAAACTACATCATAAACAAAGACAGCCTACTTCAGACAAAAAATACATACGACATGAGACATATAAGTAGAAAATGAGGGACAAATTAATAACAATCACAAGAGTCAGAATGCATAAACATTTCAATAACACCGAGTAAACAGATGGGAAGATATTAAATTAAACCAACAATACGACTTACGGTCATTTGTTAGTCATTCCTTCTCTAACTTCAAGAATTCTAAACTTTGAAATAAAAAGCTTCATAAGCATCATAGTTTGATGAAAAACAACAGAAACATTTGATAAAATATTTAATGAATATACTGTTTCATTTTTCATTTTACTACGCAAGTCTGTAAGTTCAAAGCATCAGAGATACATGGTATTAGGCTAATGTTATTTGGCTCTTGTAGTTCATAGAGTACATTCCTGTTAATTAAACAGTTACATGCTGCTTATTCAACAATCTGGCTCACGGACAGCAGTCTGGGTATGTGACAGCCATTGATCCCTCTTAACGGTAATTATAATCACATATAACAAGCAATTGCTGATATCACTCTACTACGTAAACATCTCCTGATTAGTTATCATTTGGTGTCAGTTATCTTTATCAGAGAGTTTTTGGATACAGAACACACTGACATCGGATGTTAAACCTTGATTAACCAGGTCATGACCAGAAGCTTCTCTGAGATGCTAAGAGTTAATTGTCGATTAAGAACACAACAATTCTATTTCCCCTACTGTTCGGGCCTACAGCTGTGACCGAGGAGAGAAAACGTGCCAGTGTTTTTTATGCTTTCCATTATCGACAGCCGTCTACTTTATATCGCTTCCTCTGATTTACCTTTCCTGACATTCTCCTCACTCAGAATGCGATATGCAGTTGGGATGGAATGTGTAAAGGCATCCTGTTTTTTTCGAGCGGGACAAAGATGGCTTTTGGCGGTGCAACAGACATTGAGCTCAAGGGAGAGATGGACGCTGCCATTGTTTCAAATATTAATATTGTTGGGGGCATAAACCTCGTGAACTTGTCAAAGTAATTTAGTATTTGTGTGTTCAAAAGGATTGCATCTCTGGTAAATTAAACTATCCTGAAGTAATATAAAAAAAAGACAATTCTGTAAGCCTAATCATTTATTCACCCTAGCTGCAGTTAAGCATCATAAAAGTAGGCCTATCATAAAAGTGGCTCATATTTTGTGCTGTATGGGAAGACTTTTGACACCATTTGAACGTAACTCAAGAACTAAATCAGTCCGGTTAGTGAATGAATCATTCAGACTGGTTTTGTGAACAAATCAACTGATTCATTGAAAAATTCGACTCAAATGAATCGTTTGCGACTTGGAACAACTATAGGCTACAGCAAATAACCAATTCCAGTCTGTTTGTCACATAAACCTTGGCTTCTGAAAACTTGAAATACATAAAAGTGCAAAAGTCATAACATATACAGTGGGTACGGAAAGTATTCAGACCCCCTTAAATTTTTCACTCTTTGTTATATTGCAGCCATTTGCTAAAATCATTTAAGTTAATTTTTTTTTCCTCATTAATGTACACACAGCACCCCATATTGAGAATACTTTCCGTACCCACTGTATATTGTAATTTGGTGTTTGACTGTCCCAGTCAAGATTATTTTGAAACAAGTGGCCAGGAGAAACATCAAATGCTGTCGTAGATAAGAGATTTATTATTATTATTATTATTATTATTATTATTATTATTGGGTTCCTTTTGTTTTTATTTTATTTTATTTTTTGTTGCAGACTTCCCGTAGTCCATCAAGTTATTTTACCTGTGTTACTCAATATTTGACAATTATTGAAAAAAATCCACTCAAATGAATCGTTTGCTAGTTTTTCCCCCATGATTTATAGTGAATAACAACTTTGGAATATAGCATACAAGTTACAATAACTATTGTCATTTGGTGTTTGACTGTCCTAGTCTTTATTATTTTGAAGAGTGGCCAGGAGAAAACTAGTAAATGATGAAATGTTCCTTGCTCCCAAAATCCCAGAGGTTTTGGTTCAGTATTTCATAATTAAAAGCAGTTTTATAATGCTTCTCATACCAGTGCAATGATGTAATGTAGACGTATATGTTTTTCCCTGGTATTGTGCTCATTGAAATTGCAGTTATCTCACCATCAGTCACTGTGGTCCATTCATGTGGCTGCATTTCTCACACATACTAAACACATTTAAATAAGCAGACATGGTGAGAAACCATGAGGCAATAAAGGTTATGCATTTGCTTAAGGAATGTCTGGATTGATATGATACACATACAGCAGACATGCAATGTATTACACGTTCAATAACAGAATAATGAAGTAATGCACATGTTTTAGTCAATTTTAAATGTACAATACTCTTAGACTAAAAGGATGAATACAATTTGTGAATAAAATAATCAGGATAAGTTCTTGGATTTTGGAGAATGGCCTTATGTGCACTGTTGGCTTATATTGTCTATCATGACAGGAAGATGGAAACCATCAAGGCTGTTGTTGTTCTCACATTGCTATTGTCTACATGGTTTCTTTCCCATGCGCCTGCAAGCTTCCTGCCTAATTCACCTGCTCTACAAGAGTCTATCTTTCACATCACAACAACATGTCAATGTGTCCAAACTAATTACTTTTTAACCACGTACACACCCTTTGAGATTTCATACTAAGGTGCTTTGTCAACAGAGGAATAGGCAGTGATCTAGGACAATTATACAAACCTACGTATGCAAGAGATAATGCCAACGATGTTTTAACATGAAGTGTAATTGTGGGCTATTGTTTTTTTTTTTAACATAATCCGGTAATGTCCAATTCCTGCAGGTGACACAGAGACAAGACAACAGCAGAGTGACAGACGGATGTACTTCAGATACTTGTTATTTTGAGGTGAATTTATTAGGATTCTTAATAACAAATCTAATAGATTTCATATAACATATTCAGAGTATGTGAAAATAAATACATTTATGGAATACATACATTTCATCATAATGATACAAAACTTTTGTGAAACCATATTGCTGATACAATACAGGAATCTTTCTCTACAGAATTCTTAATGATTAAACATAATAATCACAAGAAAATATATGTATGTATACATATTAAGATTAAATAAGGTTACATTAATAAGATTACAGCCTATAATCTTAAAGTGCATACTTATTGTGTGCTCTACACTGTTGGTGCTCTAAAATGTTCCAGTGCTATTCAATAAATTGGAAAGTTCTCCAGCTTTTTTTGGCAAGATTAAATCTATTGTCCGTCGTAAGGTCATAACAACAGATTGCAACAACACAACTGTCTGCATCACTTATGAATACATATAATGCTAGGTAAAGCTGAATTGATATTAAAAACAAGGGCACGGTCCATAAAGAGTGGTCAACCTTATGCTATATTCTCAGAAACATCCTATTATTATGCCAACTTTGAGAGCATTTAGGTTACAAGGAATCCAAATTGTTGCAGTTTGGGGCTCCAATTGTCGCAGTCCAAGATGCAATCCTTTTTGGAATGACACTCAATTTGGAACTATTGTTTGTAAATAATTAACTACTCAAATATAGGTCATCTTTTGTCTCTCCTAAAACATAATTAGTCACTTTTAAAATTTATTTTTACACGTTTTCTGTTTTGTTAAAATGGCTCCAATGGTGTCAATAAATTGTAGAAGTACTGCAGTTTCTAACTATCTGTGCTCTTCCAACCAACTTTCATTAGCACTTCACCTGACTCTTTTATCTCTAACCATTCAAACTCAGTGTTTTTTTGACTAACTATGATCCTGTCAGGTAGCTCATAGTCACTTAGCTAACGTCCTGTTTGCACTACAGGACTGTCGCTAACACCTAAGCTTCTTTTGTTGACTTGCCTTCAATTCACAAATATCTCCTTCACGTCTCACAAGCCTTCATCTCTCCCATTCTGTCTTAAACATGCGACAAAGGCTCTGTTTCCACAGGACTGTCCTTGAGGAAAGCTGCTTGATCGCAGCGTATGCATGTTCTGCTGCCCCTGGTTTCACAAGGGTCAATTTTTTGTTCAAGTGCTCGCACTCCCATCTCTCCTCCAGGTAAGGACTTCATCTGTAGCCAGGTTTACTGGCCTTGGATACCTTTCCCATGGCTCTGGCTCTAGCCCTAACCAGGTTCCTGAAAAGTCAGATGGGTTTGTTGTAAGTAATGGTGTTAATGAGGACACATTCGCAGAATAAGAATTTCGTGATTTGTGTAATGTGGCCTTACCTGAGGAAGGTTATGACGTCTGACCGAGCCCCAAGGGAGGAAGACTTCCCTAAAACCAGAACTCCTGGACTGGCATTTTGGGAGTTATTTAGGGCAGTCAGTTGATCTGATTTGGGTTGTTCCTGTTTTTTAGTCACAGGTTCAGATGAGTGAACCAGCATGATGGCAGGATTTTCAGAGCTTGGAGAAATATGCGCAAAATTAGTAAAAACAAAACAAAGCAAAAAAACAATTCTTGGCAGTAAATGCATCAAAATAAAAACTGCATTGTCTTATATGACTGCTATAATGGCTAATAAATCTATTAAAAAGTCAATAAATATTGGGGAAGCTACTTCAAACTTTAACTAGAAGCTAATTACAATTTCAAGTTCGGATGAAAAATCATTAGTCGCTACTTTCATTACATCATGTCTTTATAAACAGCATATAATGAAAGATTTGGTGATGCTACACCACTACTCATTACGGGTACAGCTAAGCTACACTTTAAAAAATACACTACAAACAACTAACAAATAGCTATATAGCTAACTATAACATGTTTGGTTGTGCTACATTGCTACTTGTTAAGAAAAACTAACTTTTTAATGTACAAAAAATTTTGTTTTGAAAATGCTGTTGAATATCTAGCAACATTAGCAGCATTGCAGCTAGTTAAGGCCAGTTTACACCTATATAATTGTAACTATATAACTATATAATTGTAATCAATTTCAGAGTGACTTTTTCAGCTGATGAATGATAAAAACGTTGACGATGAACCAGCTAAGACCAGTTAACAGGTTATTTGGTTGCCATAACAACAGATTACAACAACAAAACGGCATCGTTTATGAATACAGCTGCGTCCGAAAGCCTAGGCAGCTGACTTGCTGCCTCGCTACCTTACGAGGCAATGACTTTGCAGGCAGCATTTTTGCACAAAGGCACCATATGAAACTGATTTCGGACAGGCTTCTGAGGCAGCGTAACGGTTTAATGATCTACAACAAAATAGTACGAGCTTTGGTGATAACTAAACAAATATTTAATTAATATAGTACTGATTTCTCGCTAGAAATAACATCAAAAGTGCAAAAAGTTAGTCAGAAATATACATTTACACACAAACAGACCAGCAACCGCAACTTTCAGACACCATCTTTATTTTTTAGCTCAACCATCACGGAATGGAACGCACAGGATTGTGGGATATCAAAGGATACATTTATGCTGCCTTCAAAATTCGATCAGAAGAACGTACCTCCGGAGACAGGAAGTGAAGCAGAATTTGGATTCGGACGTGCCTTGATGCCTTCCTGCCTTGGAATGCTGCCTCCGAAGGCAGCATTTTAGAGCTTTCGGACGCAGCCTACATAACTGTGGTTAAAAGCTGATAATAGATAAGACTGCTTTAATGACTAAGCAGCCTGTCATAATGACAATTAGTTTTTCTTGCTGTATCAAATAGCAGTCATGGCCTAAAAGCCATTAGCTAAAACTCTGACTCATTAGATGAAACTCTCTCCATTTTAGTAATTCTAATTCAGAAACATTCTCCTGTCATATAGTCTGGATTCTCCAACTGTGTTTGTCTGGTATCACCTCACACCCTCATGATAACTCCACACGCCTTAACCGTGCACACCCTTTCATTAAAAATAGCCTTCTAAAGAAGAATGACTGTCACTGCCCACAAATTTGCGCATGGCTGTCACTTGATCGGTAAGGTGCAGATGAGAGATAAGGCTCACCTGTAGTGACAGAATGCATTGCATGTCTGATCTGCAGGACTGGCACAGAAGCAGCGGCCTGTAGACCTGCGCCGGCGAGCCAACGGACTGCCCAATCCATACACTGTGGTCTTACTGTGGAGGAGAGGAGACATCCAGAACGCATCCAGTCATTGATTAACTCATCAGAAAGGGGATCACAGGAATAAAATACAATGGGACTTTGTACTTTTTTAACTTTAAGCATGAGAATTACACCCGGCGCCAAAAGTATTCTAGATAAACAGCAATAAAATGCACAATAACTCAAAAGTGAATCTTTTTGAACTATAAAAACACTCTCATTGAAGTCACAAATGTGCACTGGTTTACTGAAACGGAAACAGATTTACGGAATACGTCCTGAATGTTTCCTTTCGGCCTCTAAAGAGTCTTCGGCATTGGTTGAACTTCTGCTTTGGTTTACTTACATACGGTTTACGCAGGTTAGCCCATGCATGGGTGAACACTCACCTTGGCGTGTTCACCCAGATGATGTCCAGATGGCAGAAATAGTGGCATTCCGAATCCAGCTGGTTGTTGCAGGAGCAGCGTTTGCTCCTGACCCTATGGGTTGCAGACGGGTCACTCGGGTCAGTCTGGGGCACTAGAGGCAACCCCCAGCCTGCAGACAAGAGATATAATGCGGTCGATAAAACTTTCCGTAATCATTCTGGGCCGTAAAGCTCCAGCAGAGACTATATGACTGAGTCTCAGAGAAATTATGAGCTCCGTACACCACATGTTATTATTATTATATACGTTTATGATTTTGATTGATCACCTCACTCTATTCCCACTTCTCTCCGCTATCTTATGTAATGACGAACAAGGTCTCAGATGTTCGATCTTAACGAATAGCGGGCAGCTGTAAAGTTCACAGCTATTCACACACATCTGTGCCGAGTTGTCAATTTTGGCTTTAATTGTCGACACTGAGGCGACAGATTAGTACAAAATGAATATTAGCCCCTGACTGTGTTCACATATTGTCAGACAGATGTTTAAAATGATAAACAGTTATAGAACTGTACGAAGCTGAGTTTAAAGTGAGTTTAAATGTAAAACAAAATACAATTATAAATGTTTTATCTCAACAAGCTTGAGAATGAAGGCACAGTTAAAAAGGTATTTAAAATATAATAATATTTTTGTAATAATATAATATAAAATCTAATAATAATCAAGTAAAACTAAAATCATAATTCTAAAATCATTATATATATATATATATATATATATATATATATATATATATATATATATATATATATATATATATATATATAATATTTGCAGTAAATGACATACAGTACATCACTTCATTAAATATACAAAATAATAAAATTCTAATTTAAATTATATATATATATATAATTAAAAAATATATATATATAATATAACATAAAATATCATATTTACAGTAAATGACATATACAGTACATCATTAAATATAGAAAATAAAAAATAACACATGAAATAAATACTAGAAATATAACACACACAAATGTTTTACCTTCAAGAAGAGTTGTCCACATGGTCAAAATGAAGATCAGAGTAGTTCTTGCTTCCATGTTGCATGTATGTTTCAATAGAAAGAAGAGCAGATGTTCACCTAAGCAATCCCAATAGATCTCACTCAGCTGCAGGTGCTTGTCTAATGTTGAACTGTCCTGTTTGGCCACACTTATAGCTCGAGCTATGCACCACCCCCCACTAGGTTGGCTGTTGTGGGTGGTAGTTACACAACTCCAGCTTGTCTTCGCAAAAATAAAAAAAAATTCATTTTTCTTGCCTGGAACTTAACAATGTGGATCTAAATTAATTGACTAATGGGACTTAGGGGTGGGAAGAGGGTTGCTGTGGAGGGCCAGCAGGAAAAGAGGAGTCACAAGAGGATATCAGCAGAATTCATTGCATGAATTCTGTTGCATGCACTTTGCAGGGAGAGACAGCGTCCCGTGGAAAGAAGGAACATTCTGGAGGGCAGCTCCTGTCTGAGGTCCAAGTATGGGTGGACAGTGGGGAAAGAAGCTTCCTATGCCCTCTGGCCACTATTTGTTTCTGATTATACAAATTAGTCAGAGATATGAAAATGTAATTCAAAATTGATTTGATTATTTTGTATTGCTACATACAGGGCCAGCATAAACCAGTTCATTTCCTTTAGATATTATTAAAGAGCTGTTGTGGTACTTTGATCAAATGTAACATTTATGCATCGTCTTATATTAAATTGTGTCATAAATCGTTTAAATAATGCCACCACTTATATTTATGATATTTCAATAATCTAAAATTTATAATAGATAACTAAAAATAAAACCATAAAAACATTTTGTTTACTTGAAATAAAGCTAACTGATATATATATAATTATTATTATTGTTATTTTATTAATATATATTAACTTATTTTATTTTAGTTTGTTGCTAAGGACCGAGGATACATTTAGCATTTTCATTTAGTTTAATGTACTAAAATAACTAAAACTAAAACATAAAAAAAACTAATAAAAATATTTTAAAAAGCAAGACATTAAAAAGCAAAAACTAATAAAAAGTAAATGCAAAGTAAATGTAAGGTTTCCAATTTTTTATTATATTTTTATATAATATAAATAAAAATACTACGAATGTATACTATATATTTATTAAAATCACTATTACAGGTGCTTATTTAAAAAGCAAACACTAATAAAAAAATAAAATGACAAAAAGACACACTTTAACTAAAATAAAAACAAGTTAAAAATCTTACAAAACTGCAATAATATCTCCATTATACTAAAATAATATATACATATAATAAAGTTCACTAATGATCACTACCAGGGAATGTATGGCCTGATAAAATAAAATAAAATAATGTAATTAGCATAAAAATAGAATGCACTGTAAGAGAAAAGCATAAATGCAAAGTAAATGAACATTTTAATAAAATTAAATGTAATAAAACTATCACTATAAAGATACATTACATTGTATGAGTGACAATAAACGATGAGTGCCTCTGCACTGTCAAAGAAATCTGCCTTACAGGAACTGAAGATGAGCAATATTCATCAGTGCATGAGCAAAGTTGGGTTTCCGTGATGGTTTGCCGTGACCTGTGCAAAGATAAGACACAGGGGCGCAGCCTCGCAGGTATCGGGCTGAGGTTGCAAATGCGGCCCCCTAGCGTGGGATGTGCACACAGTGTCCATTCACAGACTTTCCAGCACATGTGTACGGAGTCAGCAGCAGCCGCTGTGGGTCATGCAAATGCATCATAACATAATCTCACCACATACTTTGATTAGCATGTTTTATCAATTGCATCGTAAAACTCAGATGAGAGTTTGCTGAAGCACTTCTCTCATAGCAGCTGAGAAAAGTCCCTCGTGCTGATAGAAATATTAATATGGAAATCGTATTGAATTAGTATATATATATATATATATATATATACACTGTAAAAGTTATAACAAAATGTGTGTGTGTGTATATATATATATATATATATATACACTCTAAAAA